CACACACACACACACACACACACACACACACACACACACAGATTATCAGCACGAGGCAAACCGCCAGCCTCATGCCACTGCACTGAGCTTTAAACACTTCTCTGTGGAACAAGGCCCAAATGAACAAACAAGTCCAAGTTGGTTCAAAACATTACAATCTGCTAAAATAATTCAGTGACAAAGAATAGACTGTCAAATAAACCAAAGTTAAAAAACAATTACAGTAAAAAGAATTAAGAAAAAAGAGGAGAGTTAAAGCAGGGTGCAGAAAACGAAGAGCATCAAAAGTGAATGCGATGTGAAAAATTACCAGCAGCAGTTCCCGGCTGCTCCCAGCCGCCTCTTTTATCAGCAATAATTAGACCTGGAGAGAGGAGTCCAATATTAAACCTCGCCACCACTCTTTCCTAACAGGCCATCCTTTATTCCTACTCAGTCTTTTCTAATCTCTCTCCTCTCCTCACCACCCATCCATGGGCTCCACATTAAAACATAAAAAGAGCCAGTCTCATAAAGCCAACTGTTAAGCAGTAAAACGTCTATGATCTCAGTCGGCCACACTCGCTTTGACTCGAGCGCTCATATCGCACGAGAACCARGACGGGTGGCGTGCTTTAACCGCACGCTCGCCAAAATCACAACTTTAACAGCTTTGGCTTTATTTAGCGTGCTATTTACTGTTTTCTTTTAAAAGACAACTTCCATGAAGGAATGTTTTTGTACGTATCTAAAATCAGTGTTTGACTCTTTGAGCTACCCACAACACAGACATCTGAAAGCAATTAGAAAAAGTAAAAAAAACATTTAAAATGCAGGGATTTGAACAATAAAAGAAAAAAAAATACTCAAGAAGACAAAGAAGAATGTAGTTTAATGTGTAAAAGCTGAGTGTCCGGAGCCTCGGTCGCTGCTAACTTGTGTTTGCGTGCATGTGTGCGTGTTGTTGTGGGTTAAAAAGTCAAGCCCACGGAGAGTCACCCCACCCGCCCCCCTGTTAGAGTGGAAAGGAGCAGCCAAACCAGCCCAGAGGGGGAGCTTGGCCTACAGATGGAAGAGGTGCGGCCTGGGAACTAACAAAGCTTTCGGACCAGTTTATGGAGGCCTGGGACTGGGGGGGTTTGTGGGGGGGCAAAGAGCTGGGGCATGGGGGGAGGGAAATTGTTGGCGTTGCCTTATTCTGAGTCTTTCAGCTCATTCAAGAGCATTTCTGTGCTGAGCTGAAGGGAGGCCAGCAGCTTCAAAAGGAACGGGGCCAGAGGAACTCGCAGTGATTCTCAATATTTAAAGAGCAGAGAAAGGGGGAGGGGTGAGGGTGTTAAAAGCTGCCTCTGCAAATGTCCTTCAGCAAAATAACTTTAGTTTCAACCCCCTCTGCTTTCCCACTACGATGGACAGGAAAGAAAAACAAAAAAAAAAATCTTTAAAAAAAACAATCAGAGCAAAAAGTCTGGTGAACTGAAGGAGGCCCTAGAAGGAGTTTGTAAGTCAGCTCCTCCTGAGGCGCAGGAAGGGTCGATACAGACTGGTGGCAGGCGGGGTGGGGGGTCCTCGGTGCTGCAGAAGATTTGAAATTTCTACGTAAAAATCTCTTCTTTTTTTTTTTGCTGGAGTAACGAGGTCCAAGGAAACTCTCCGGTTCGGCTGTGACTCCTACCAAAACCACAGCTGACCACACGCAAAACAACAGCTGCACCCTTTCTCCTCCTCCTCCTCCTTCCCTTTCACTCCGCTCTTTCCTCATCCCTCTGTCCCCACGGTCCTAAACAACCTGTTCTTCCACATCAAGCTGAGGACGGGCCGTGACAGATGGAAGACTTTCTCAGGGTTCCTCCAGATATGTGGAKCTTTACTGGTGTGTTGTGAGGGTCTGATCCACACAGGCACTACGGCTGCTTTAAGAAACGTAGCTCCAAATGCCAGAGCTAATTCAACACACTATTAACCCAGCTGCGTTTGTTTCTAATCAAACTCACCCCCCTCCCCCCTAAATCGTGGAAGTTCCTTCTAAAAGCTGCCTGGCGAGGAGGCCACACAGCACAACGGCTCTTTCATCATGGCACAGAAATGTGGAGGAGCCTGAATAAGTACGTTTTTTTTTTTATTCAAGAGGTTTGTCCTTGCTAGAAAAGGGAAATGAAGGAATGCAGGGTGAGAGGGAAGAGCTGAGTTCCACAAATATTTTCACAATGGCTGCACAGAGGAGTGCCTGTGTTGTCTTCCTTTCTTATCACCTCCCTGATAACCCTCAAGCTCTTTCACTTCAGGCCTGTTTTCAAACATTTGTTCAGGCTCAGTTTTCTTCAACACTCCTCCCACAGGAAATACTTAGAAATTACATGCACGGAAAGTAAATCGATACGCTGATTTTGCAAATAATAATCTTAAAATGTGTTCGCAAACACGGCTTTTATTTATTTATTGTTACAAAAGCAATGACAATCAGAAAGGAGAGCACAGCGTGACACAGAGTGTGTTCAGGTTGGAGGTAGGAAGCGACGAGGAGTGGATTAGACCACTGGAGCTGGTCTGTGCTTAACAACAAGGTTCTAATTAAGAGAGCCTCACAGTTTGGCCACAGGCAGGTTTCTCATAGAGAGACTCACTATTTGGCAGT